GGCCTGAACCCTCTCTATTGCAATTCCAGGAATTACCCCCCATATGTGCAACCATTTTCCACCTTGGTACCACCCAAGCCTGAAAACAAAATCTTAATACCACGCTGAAGCGTTTGGTAATAAATCGGCCGTTAATGCCATGGCAACATGGTATACTTACATAGTAAGCTGCCGATGATTGGCAGACCACGTGGCCCTGGTGGCATACCAGGCGGTCGCCGTATACTCCATATCAATATAATAACCAATAGCACCAGCCCACCTATTAGCATATTACACATGGCGCTGCCACATGATATCGCTTCCAGCAACATGATTATAAGATGCGAGTGTTCTTCTGTCTTCACTACCTGAAAATCACAGTGAAATTTGTGACATACCAGTTACATTGTTAAATATAATCTGTGTGCACAGAGTATGTGTGAACGTATGACACATCAACATATAAATCGACTAACATTGTATTGTATGTGAACATAGAATAGATCAACTATGATATGTGAACATAGAATATACCAACTATGATATGTGGACATAGAAGAGAACAACTATGATATGTGAGCATAGAATAGAACAACTATGATATGTGAACACAGAATAGAACAACTATGATATGTGAACATAGAATAGAACAACTATGATATGTGAACATAGAATAGAACAACTATGATATGTGAACATAGAATAGAACAACTATGATATGTGAACATAGAATATATCAACTATGATATGTGAACATAGAATAGATCAACTATGATATGTGAACATAGAATAGAACAACTATGATATGTGAACATAGAATAGAACAACTATGATATGTGAACATAGAATAGAACAACTATGATATGTGAACATAGAATAGAACAACTATGATATGTGAACATAGAAGAGAACAACTATGGTATGTAAACATATAATATACCAACTATGATATGTTAACATAGAATAGATCAACTATGATATGTGAACATAGAATAGATCAACTATGATATGTGAACATAGAATAGATCAACTATAATATGTGAACATAGAATAGAACAACTATGATATGTGAACATAGAATAGAACAACTATGATATGTGAAATGGTGGTTCTCAAGGTAAATGTTCCTAATTTGGCACCTAGATAATGGTCACAGAGAGTGAAAACATCACAGAGCTTGGCAGTGAATTACATCGTGTCATGTGATTATTTCCCACACAGAAGTCAAACACCAATCATGGAATATCGTGTATATCGTTACCGACAGGACCATGTCGGCAGTGACTCTGTGCCATGATATTATTAATCCGGTTATTCATTCCCAATAGATAGAAATCCCAAATTGGAAGGCATGGTATGTAGTCACGTTAACAACGGCGCCATGGACCTCGGCCTCGTAATTGCAGTGTAGCGACTGTCACATTCAGGCACAGACTACGCGATTAATGTAGGTGCTCGGATGTAGGTATTACCTACCTGGCAAACTGAACGTCTGAGCAAGTATCACGATATGGTGAATGGTGAAACAAACACCACAAAACTGTACTCTCACTAGCGCACTAGTCTCGAACTGTGTCACAAATAGAAAGAGCACCAACCGGTCACGGCCGTTCACTGACTTTAAATAAAACAAATGATGACCCTCAGTGACACCGTTCGATTATAATAAGGGTAGACCGTTTTGAACTCGGGTGAGGTGAAGAAAAAACACACGCAAAAACGCCGTCTGCACAGGCTAACAAATATATTGCAGGGCCTCGCTCAATATCAAATGAACCGTCCCCTACATTACTTTACCATACACTAATTTGTTCACGAAATCGGCGGAATACTCTCGACACATCCAATCCATTCCTTTCATTAAAAAAATATTTATAAATATTCAAACTGAAACGATCGATTTTATTGGTCCCTGAATTTACATTGGAAAATTTTAAAATGATATCATTATGCTCGTTGATGAATTCAAATGCCATTGAAATGTATGAATATATATATAAAAATGAAGGAAATGTGTTTGTTGTGTCGATAGTATGAACTCGTGCAATTCCAACTAACGGGCTTAATCATACCAAGAAAAATGTTCGTGCAATTAGTAAAAACATCAGACTCACTAGTGCATTTTATCATACATAGTTTACCGCATAAAACATACCTTTGTGCATCATCGGCAACATAGTACTATCATGTATTGTTAGTAACACATTCAGTACAGTGATGTATTGTTGGTAACACACACAGTACAGTAATGTATCATTGGTTAAATCGTACAGTACAGTGACGCACTGATGGTAACACGTACAGTACAGTGATGTATCATTGGTTAAATCGTACAGTACAGTGATGTATTGTTGGTAACACGTACAGTACAGTAATGTATCATTGGTTAAATCGTACAGTACAGTGATGTATTGTTGGTAACACGTACAGTACAGTGATGTATCATTGGTTAAATCGTACAGTACAGTGATGTATTGTTGGTAACACGTACAGTACAGTAATGTATCATTGGTTAAATCGTACAGTACAGTGATGTATTGTTGGTAACACGTACAGTACAGTAATGTATCATTGGTTAAATCGTACAGTACAGTAATGTATCATTGGTTAAATCGTACAGTACAGTGATGTATTGTTGGTAACACGTACAGTACAGTGATGTATCATTGGTTAAATCGTACAGTACAGTGATGTATTGTTGGTAACACGTACAGTACAGTAATGTATCATTGGTTAAATCGTACAGTACAGTGACATATTGTTGGTAACACGTACAGTACAGTGATGTTTTGTTGGTAACACGTACAGTACAGTGATGTATCATTGGTTAAATTGTACAGTACAGTGACATATTGTTGGTAACACGTACAGTACAGTACAGTACAGTAATGTATCATTGGTTAAATCGTACAGTACAGTGACATATTGTTGGTAACACGTACAGTACAGTGATGTTTTGTTGGTAACACGTACAGCACAGTGATGTATCATTGGTTAAATCGTACAGTACAGTGATGTATTGTTGGTAACACGTACAGTACAGTAATGTATCATTGGTTAAATCGTACAGTACAGTGATGTATTGTTGGTAACACGTACAGTACAGAAATGTATCATTGGTTAAATCGTACAGTACATTGATGTATTGTTGGTAACACGTACAGTACAGTAATGTATCATTGGTTAAATCGTACAGTACATTGATGTATTGTTGGTAACACGTACAGTACAGTAATGTATCATTGGTTAAATCGTACAGTGCATTGATGTATTGTTGGTAACTCGTACAGTACAGTGATGTATCATTGATTAAATCGTACAGTACAGTACAGTACAGTGATGTATTGTTGGTAACACGTACAGTACAGTAATATATCATTGGTTAAATCGTACAGTACAGTGATGTATCGTTGGTTACACGTAAAGTACAGCAATGTATCGATAAATATGTTGAACGTATCTAGAGTTCAATATCTTCAATATAACAGTTTCGGGCAATGTCTTAAAAGTTGCATGAAATGTTAAGGTAGCGAGACTATTATTTGCATACTTGCTTCATCTTCTAATTGTGACTAAATGGCTACAAACAGATCCAGGAAAGTACATATTTTTGGAATCGCCAGACTTTAAACTTTTTAAAAGTGTGTTTTTCATGCCCGTATTCTACGAAGCGTTACTCAATCAAAGGTAAAACATTACTTTTTCTGTAAAAAAAAATAATTACGCATTTATGCTGGTGATAAGTTTTTTTCTTCACTTTTCCTAGTTGTTCAATAGTCAGGTAATGTGAATGTGTCTGGTCAGTTTTATTCAAGCAACGCGTTTTAAAAAACAGTGTGCTGAATTATTATTTCCATTTTAGTCGCATTGCCCCCAACTCTAACCACAACACGTTGGTAAATAATCCACGCCATAGTTTGTCTGGACACATTCAAGTTCCTCTCATTGTCACCTTAAAACTGTGAAAATTTGGTGTTAATCCGACGACAATAAGTATACGTTATTTTTTGTTAAAGAGCTTGTATTTTGAAAAAAATAAACTCCTAGAAAATGTCCATGAAGTCACAGCAAAGATTGTCAAGCTTGTTTATCGGCACAATCAATTTGTTTTCCCATCAAGGTCTGTTTTAACATGTGTAGGGACATCCAAATGTGTAAGGCTATTGGAAACCAAAAATATAAAGGAATGGAATAGCTATAATTCGATAAAATCGACAGATGAGAACACCAAACTCAATGATTTTTTTTTCAGTGGCTGTGTGACCTTGTGTCTGACACATTCATATGCAAATGACTAATCTGTGAAACAAACAGGGGCGGAGACAAACCACTCAAATGTTTGGAAACACTCATTGTGTGTCAGATAGCTACTGATAACACATCCTAACATTGCTTTGTCTTGAGTTAATCTTTGAAACTTATAGGCACGCATATTAAACCTGTGTTGTTGATTTTGGAAAACACTACTGAGGCTGCCTTGCTTTCCTTCAGAAAATCAACATTTTAACCAACTTACATGATATTCTATGTTATGTTGACTTTATCATATGAAAGTTTATAGTGCATTTCATCAATTAATAAATAAATGTGAAAATCGTAATTTTCAACACAAATAATAGTCTCGCTACCTTAAGTTGGAAAATGTTTTGTATACTGCTGGTAAAGACGTAACAGATAACTACAATGTCTTAAACGTGGAGTAGAAACGGAAAGAAGCGCTGGTCGTAGATATTATCTAAATTTTCGGAAAAGGTGTCCAGTACATGGACAATTTGACTGGAAAGTAGTAATTTCAGGTAGTAAACGCCCAACTCCGTTTTCCAAAGCTGATGAAACAGTTTGAATTCCTCACATAGTTGAAACAGTCTCTGCACACCTACTATTTCAGTTTAGTTTGGGAAATGAGAATAAAATCACTAAATAGTGCATCAAGTTACTGTTGTTATCAGAAGTTAATCCTATTTTAATTATTACATTTGAATGAACATTGATTTTCTTTTATTTTTGTCAATAGTTATAGTTAGTTATGTAAAGGACGATTTTTTTTGTTAATTTGGACACTAGGTGGCGCAACTCAAACTGCACTGCTCCATGATAACCAAATCAACAATCAAATACGCTAATAGCTATTTTTACGATATTGTAAACAACGATTCACATATTCATTTGGAAAATCAGCATTCACGCGGATAAAGGTAAAATAAATCATTTTATTGGTGCAGTTGTGCCACCAGTGGCTAAAATATAATTCACTCAAAATATTGTTTTTATATATCTCCTATTTTTGCATGTACTTCAAAAAATGCATGTATTTACAAACCACAGTAGTAGCAATTTGGTTCATTTCAGCTGAAAAGATGTTTTCTTCACGAATGATGTCGTAATGAACTATGACAT